TGCAGGTCACCCTAAAAACTACGCGCTCCGCACACTGGGCCGCGGAGCGGGGCCTGCGCATCTGCCCTGGGCCGGGGCTGAGGGCTCCCAGGGGTCCCACACGCCTCCCTGGAATGGGGAGCTGCCAGGCCCGCTCAGGCCACCACTCAAACCCCAGGCCCACAGGCCTGCCCGACGCTTTCGACGCTGAGGAGTCGGCCTTGAGGCACAAGGCCAAGCTGCTGAAACGTGTCAATGGCAGGACGACGAGGTCACGACAAGGCCGCGCTCACCAAGCAAGTGGTCCGAGCCCCCCAGGCCCTGGCCACCCCGCGGCACACCCTCAGGCTCACAGGACAGGTGTGCAGTGCACCCGACCACGCGCAGCCCTGAGGAGGCCGTCTCGGGTGCAGCCCGCCGGTTGGAGGAGGAGCCCTAACAGCCCTCGCTTTCTCCTGCCCAGCCACCAGCCTCCGGCTGCCAGGACGGTCCGACCCTGAATCAGAAAGAGCTGAGGCCCCAGGCCAGGCAACGGCTGGAGAAAGGACGGTGACTGCAGCTTACTGCGAACCCACCCCCACCCGAGGACGCACGCGTTCACCCACGGGTGTGACTCAGACTGCGTCATTTCTGAGGAGCGCCTCGGTTCACTAGGCGTCGCCCACCCGGTCCCCAGGCTGTGGCCGTGGCCAGCACCGGGCCAGGGTGCAGGTCGCACATGCACACTGGGCTCCAGGGGACTTTGGCACTGTCTCCACCCTCCACACGCATCCTCAGACCCGGCACATGCTCACTGAATGAGTGTCAGTGGGAGCCAGCAGGTCCCAGCGCCCTCCCTCCCATTAGCGAAGCACTAGGTCTATTCCTTGTTACCCCGAGTTCAGGCTCTGGCACGAGAGCCGATCAAGGAGAGGAGAAGCCGCCCCTCAGCATGGCACTCCCCAGAGCTGACGAACAGCAGGCGGAGACCAGGGATCCTCTGAGCTAGGACAGCCCCTCCGGCCACCGCGAGGGCTGACGGGGGCCGGCGGGCTGGACAGTCAGGCTGACACCGTGGCTGAGGCCGGGCCAAGCCACACCGGCCCAGGCCACCGGGGAGCAGCCAGGCCACGAAGCCCACGGAGGGAGGGTGGGAGTTTTCAGTTGGCAAGTTCTAAACCCCAAGCAGCTGCCAGTGGCCTGCGAACCTAAGGAAGGAGGTCTAGCCCCGTAAGTGGCCGGACTACGCGCCAGGAACCAACCAGAAGGGCCCTCGGCCTCCCCCAGGCCTCGTGAGGCAGGCTGCTCCCGCAAGAGCCCTCTCGGGAGGAGCAGCTCGGAGCACTGGGTGGCGCGTCCCCAGCAGAGGCGAGTGTGCACACGGACACGGCCACGTGCCGCTCACCCCCACAGAGGGAGGAGGGAGGCCCCCATGGCCACCCCGCTGGCAGTCCAGAGCAGCTGCCGGAACCCAAACCCACCTGCATCCCCAACAGGCGGACTGGTGACGGGACACTGAGGAGGGGACACAGGGATCTCGTTGGGACAGGGCCCGGGCGCCCCGGTGGCAGGTCCAAAGGGCTGGAGCGGTGTGGCGGCGAGGGCGCAGGCGGCGGGAGTCTAGGACTCCTCACCCATCTGCAGCAGGGAGTTGACGGCCGCATCCTTGTTCCCTCGCTGGGCCTCCAGCACAGAGCGGATCACCTCACGGTCCATGTTGGGGAACATGTCCTGGATGGCCCTCAGGTCCTCCTCGTTACAGCGGGGCGGGGCGCTCACAGCCGCTGGGGGCAAGGCCATGGGCACCATGCCAGGGCTGCACACGGCGGGCATTCCTACAAGCACAAGACGGGGTTTAGGTAGGCGGGCGGTCGACCGTGCCGAGGCCACCTCTGACTCAAGAGAGCAGCCTGCGCTCTGAGGGCCTCCCCCAGGGCCCATAGGCGCCGACCAGCAAGGGCACCCAAGCAACGTGATCCTGAACCCCCAGGCACACAGGAGAGGAGCGCAGCTTTTCTGTTCCCATGTGGTTGTTTCAAAACATCCGAAGGATGTCAAAGGAGAGCCTCCATCTGTGAAGAAACCTACCCTTTCCTAAAGCCGGCATCTTAGGGCCTCACAGAGAGCCCAGGATGGAGCCACACAGACACGACACGTGTCACCTCCTCAGAAAGCAGCTCGCCCACTCCAGGCACCGGTGGTGCTGGTCACTGTGTGGGAGCCCCCAGACGGGTGAGGCTCTCACTGGGGGCCGGGCTGGGTCTCACTGGGAAACAGGCCTTTGCAGATGTGACCAGGGAAGCGGAACTCACACGGGGGTGGAGTGCGCTCTCACCCAACAACCCCACCAGCACCCCAGCCTCCTCTCCAGCGCCCTCCCAGGTGCTGACCGCTGGCGTGCCTCCTCGGCGTAGTGGGGCGGCCACGCTCTGCTTGGACCCAGCTCCCGGCACCTCGGCAGACACTGGGGCTCGCCCACTGCCCTTCTCCGGGTCCGTCCTCACTGCCTGCCGCTGCCTGAGCCCAGGTCTGTCGCTGCCACAAGGGAGCTCACCAACAGCTCAAGTTGTGATTTTAAAATTCGAAGACAGAAAAGCTGCGGCGCCACTGGATGGTGCTGTGCCGCCACAATTGCTCACCGATAACGAACGGTAAAGCCCTCGCGGACAGACAGGGCCAGTGCTGCTGGAGCACACGGCTCACCTGACCCAGCAGGAGCGTTATCTGTGAGGGCAACGCATGCGCTGCAATGTTTAGAAATTACATTTCTGCCTCCCCGCAAATTGCAACTCACCCTGTTTGTGCCAATAGCTAAGGAAAAGAAAGTTCCGTTTCCTATACACGCAGAGAAAATCCAAGTGTAACACCTGGCCCTCGCTTCTGGAAGGATCCTCACGCCTCACTGCAAGACCGGGTTAAGGCTCTAGGCCGCACTCCCAGTCCCCGCCCCCCTGTCCTCACACCCCCCAAGTAGCCACCCCGAGAGGCACTCACCTGTGATGGGCACGTAGCCGACGCCCTGCTGGTACACGGTGGGCATCAGGACCACGGGCTGAGGCGGCATCATCATGGTGGCCGGCAGGGACTGCAACACACAAGGCGATCACAGGGTCACAGCAGACCCCAGCACACACGAACCCTTCACGTGCAGCCCCACCCACCGCGTCCTGGGAGTGACAGCTCAGGGCCGCCGCCCGCCCGCCCTCCTCTGCTCAAGATCGGGGAATGAATGGCTCGGGTAGATATGTCGCCAGACCTACAGGGCCGTGGCCAACTGAGATGTCACCGAAGACGACCAGGTTCCGGAACAAATGTAAGCGTGAGCTGCGGGTCAGCACCAGGACAGTTCACGGGAGTCTCTAACCCAGTGGTTCTCAACCCTCTGGCCCTTTAAATACAGTTCCTCATGTTGTGACCCAACCATAAAATTGTTGTTGCTACTTCATAACTGTCATGTTGCTACTGTGATGAATCGTCATGTAAATATCTGATATGCAGGATGGTCTTAGGCGACCCCTGTGAAAGGGTCGTTCGACCACCAAAGGGGTCGGGACCCACAGGTTGAGAACCGCTGCTCTAAGATGTGAATCCTCTCAGTTGGTGTAAGAGAGGTTCGGAGTTTCTGTAAAGGCGCCTGTTAAAGACGCATAAGGGTGCCTGGCCAGGGTGGCTCAGGGTTGAGCGTCTAGGAGGTCACAGTTCGATTCCCAGTCAGGGCACATGCCCGGTTGCGGGCTCGATTCCCAGTCGGGGAGTGTGCAGGAGAGGAGGCAGCCAATCGATATTTCTCTCTCCCTTCCTAAGCGTGCCTTGCATGAGAATTAGAAATAAAAAATGTGCAGGAGGAAACCCTATGAGTGAAGGTGTACTGAGGCGGGACTGGCTCTAACGTCGTCCGGCACCAAGGGAGGGGCTGGCACTCAGGTGAGGGCTGCTGAGCTGCAGGTGCCCACTCGGGCCCCACACCTGCTCCCGCCTGCCCCGCCCGCTGGGGTTTCCACAGCAAAGGTTCCCATGACGTGAGCAGCTCCTGGGAGAGACGGAGACGGCAGGAACCCAGAGGCCCTGACCCTGCCTTGACCCATCACGGCCTCCGAGCCCCCAGGACCCCAGTGGCGGGTGCTGAGGAGCCAGGCCCTGAGGTGCTGGCCCGGCGGCACCATCCCCACCTCATCCCCGTGCGGCCCTGAGACACCCCACTACTGCACAGGGGGGCCCTGCAGGCCATAAGCCTTACGGCGTAAGGGAAGCCACACCTCGAAAGATGGGCCACAAAATAGAAACAAAAAATAAAAATTAAAGAAGATGGGCCTCGATCCCGTGACTTGGCCACCACACAGCAGTTCCCAGGCAGAATGTGGGGTGGAGAGGGCAGCGGCTCCTGTGGCCACGCCGGGACCTGTGCTCGGGCTGTGGCCAAGCTGCTCTGGGAGAAAGGCTCGTTGCTGCAGGTCAGCTGCCATAGGCCTCCGGGGGCGCGAGGAGCCAGCCCGGCCGACACCTGCCGCCCCGTCCCCGGCGCTTACCGAGTAGGACATGACCAGGTTGATCATGCCCTCCTTGTCGTCGCCCTGCCGCCCACTCAGGCAGTACCACTTGTCCTCCACCTCGCCCTGCCGCAGCGCCTCGGACAGCGTGATGTGCGTCCAGGCGATGCGATCGTCCATGGAGAAGGCTCGCTGAGGGACGCAGGGAGACCAGCATGAGCCCTGAGACCTGCCGAGTACTGCCCTTGTTCCCTCCCACCACCACCTGAAGCCCTGCCCCCCTCAGCTGCCTGGAGACTCAAGGCCACTCCTCCCCAGGCTGGAAGCCAGGGCACAAATGCAGGAAAGGAGGTGCCCTTGAGCTCACACCCTCCCAAGGGAGCGGAGGGGCAGAGGAAGGGCAGGGGCAGAGGGGCCACCTCCCCGCCTGGCTTCCCACCCTCACCCTGAGCTCTCACCTGCGGGCACCCTGGCTGGCCTCAGGGGGGACAGACAGGGCGCTCCCAGGCAGTGACCATGGAACCAGGCAAGGAAGAGCCCACTGCACCCTCTGCTACTCCCAGGGACACCCGAGTAGACGGCCTGCCACTCGCACCACCCAGAATCCCCTCCCGCCCACCAGGGGACCACCCACTTCCCCCAGCCTGCTCGTTGGGGCAGGGCCTCGAGGGCGTGTGCGTCACTGGCGAGGACGCCCTCCCACTGCTGCTGGGACCCTGGGGCAGGGTCACCAGCACCACATGCCCACGTCCCGGGTCTGCCTGCCCGGCGCCCGCACCTCGTCGAAGATCTCCAGGTAGAAGGAGTCCACGCCGGGCGGCACGGTGCAGTGGATGACCTTATTCCAGCGCGGGTTCTTGGCGCCGTTGTGGGCCGTGGGCGTCTCGTACACGGCGTAGCCCAGGCGCAGCCGGCAGTACGGGTCCATGCGGGTCATGCCATAATTCTTTGCCAACTTGGCCTGAAACAAAGCCACGTCAGAAAGACGAGGAGCCGCTACAGTGAGCTCAGGCGCACCAGGTCACCTGCCCTTCAACGCGTCACCCCGTGTCCCCGGGTCTGAATCAGCCACGCGATCCGAGGAGCACATGCTCCTGGGCGCCAGGGCAAGAAGCAAGTTCCCGCGGGAGCCGCTGTCTGCAAGGAGCGTGATGGAGAGAGGCTGGGGCTGGAGGAGGGAGCTCCCCTAGAGGCATGTCCCATCTGAAATGCCCGCCAGGCGTCCAGGGAGAGGCCCGAGGGCCTGGCCAGTTGCTCCCCCTGGACCATGTGGGCAGAGAGGAGCCCGCAGCACAGCCCCAGCCCAGGACCAGGGCATGGCCTCTGTGAGCCCAGGGGACGAGGTCTGTCAAAAGGAAGCGGGAAGCCATGGGCGGCACTGCCAAAGGGCCAAGTATTGAACCGGAAAGTTTCTAACCACAGGGCCTGCCCTCGGAGGCCTGGTGCTGGTGGAGGGTGCAGCCGACTGCCAGGCCTGTAGTCCCTGGTGCCCGCAGGAGGCAGTGCTCCGCTCCAGCCGGGCATGGACCTGGTTACAGGAGGGCACCGGAGGGGAGGTGTGCGAGGTGCACCGCGGCTGCGGCCCCCTCAGCACGAGGGCTGAGTGTGTGTGCTGCGCCCCGACTCCTTCCTCCCCGAGCCCCACAGCTCCCGGTGGGGACGGCAGAGCCCTCCCTGGCCCTCACCTGCACAGCAGGCGCCCCACCTCCCCGCCGCCTTGAGGCCAGGAGAGACCTGGGTCTATGCAGGGGCCGCTAAATGCTCATTAGTAAGTGTTGCTAGTACCTTGGGCAGAGCCCTGGGTGTCAGCAATATTTTGCACGCATGTCCTTTTTCATCAGATACATGTTTTAGGAAAAACTAGAATCAGAAAAAGTTCCATTTGTTGCCACAGAACCCTCCCACTCCGGGCCCAGGCACGCACCTGCACCACGGTGATATTGAGGCGGTCCACCGTGCCCAGGGCCCCACCGTACTGCAGCTGCTGGGCCGCCTGCGCGTCCAGCTGCACCTGCTGCTGCTGCTGCGTGGGCGCGATGCGGAGGAAGTCCTGCGGGAGCTCCCCGATGTACACCTGCGGGGAGAAGAGTCAGCGCGGCCGGACCAGGATCGAACCCCCATTTCCAGCACCCAGTCGCCCGGGCTACCCTGGGCCTCAGTTCTTCACCTGTACAGGGAGAGGCCCTGGGCTCAGGCATCCAGCCTGGGGACCCTGCCGCTGGACCCCCTGCCGCTCTGGGGAGGGAGCCCTGGTACTCGGCGGGCACTGGGCACACCAGCTCCATGAAGGGCAGGATGCTGCCCCCGACGAGGTACAGGCTCGAACAGACTTGCTAGGCGTGTCATGGACTGCTTTCGGGGTCACAAGCTCTGTCTCTGTCCGTGACTCATTCTCACTGGGCCACTCCCACCACCAGGGCGGCCTGCTAATGACAAGGCACTGGCTCCCACGCCACCCGAGACAGGTCGGAGTGGACCCAGACCCCAGGTGACTGGGAAGACCTCCTGCACCGATGTCCTCAGCGTTCCCTCTAACAGCACGATTCAAGCTCCGCTCCTTCGGCCGCCCCAGGCTGCCCACGAGGCTCGGCCAGAACAGCGGCTCCCGCAGAAGCCGGCCCAGGTGCCGCCAGCGCAGACCTGGCCCAGGGCGGACCAGCTGGCTGCCTTGCGTTCCCGTTCCCGTCCCTGTCCCTCCAAGGGGCCTCGGGAAAGTATTTCCCCTACGCCCACCCCCCTTGGCACTTCAACATGGAGGCACGCTGCCTGCTCACGACCCTTGTCTACTGGCACTTTCTCCACGAAAAGAGCGGGTCACTCTCAAACGCAGCGTTAGGATAACGAACTTAATCTGTTCGGCACGTTTCGATGTAACTTGCTTACTAATGTAATACGGCAGGTTACACACACGTCAGCAATTTATACAAATGTCACAGCAACGTAATAAAAAGCTTAAAAACTCGTTACTTTCCCAGAAAAGTAAAGCAGCTGAAGAAGTTCCTTAAATATCTTTCGTGAGCTCACCTTTAAACCCTTGTTTTCGGAGAGAAAGTCCTTTTTAAGTAACTGCCAGGTGTTTTTTTCAGCCCTTGACATAGCTAGTGATGGGCTGAGTAGCTTTTGTGGAATTAAAAAATGAAATGTAAATGGTTTCTACTCCACTGGGAGGCGGCCCCAGTGGGTGTGTACCTGACCTCCCGTGGCCGTGCCGTCCGTGAACTCGACAGTGATGTGACCCCAAGACAGCCGCAGGAGCAGCGACGCTCTAAGGACAAAGTCCAGCGACCTGAGCTGGGGGCCAACAGCACCCCGTGCTGCGAGGGCACAGGCAAAGGGCCCTGGAGCCCCCACAACCTGACCCCAGGAGAACCCTGCGCCCTCACTGAACCCAAAGCTACTCACGGCTCTAGGTCAACATGACCTTCACAGCTGGCGCCAGGGCAGGGAGGCTGGGCCAGGCCGAGGCCTAAGGGACAGAGGGCACAGCCAAGCAAAGCCACAGCGCCCGCCGCCGGCGCAGCTGCAGGCCTCTCGGGGGAGCCGGCTCCCGGGGGAGCCCCACTCTGCGGAGCACACCTGTGGCGCCTGGAGGCAGCTGAGCTCTGGAGCCCCTGTGCCTCTGAGGAGGCTGCCCCGCTCCCAGGCCACTAGAGTGACCCAGGGCCAGGGCTCAGCATGGCCCAGAGTCTGGCCAGGAGACATGGCCTTGTCCAGCCAACGACCACAGGAGGGGCTGGGCGTGGACGGGCTGAAACCAAACACGGCGGGTGGGCCAGGACAGACATGAGGCTCGGGGGCACCCAGGTGGCTGTGCGCGGCGTCATGACTGCACCCTCTGCACAGCCCCCTGCGGTGAGCAGGTGCGGCCGGGCCCCAGCGCACCGGGAAGGGAAGGCTGCCTGCGGCCCTGCTCACTCGGCCCCAGGGCTTCCTGGACAAAGAGGCTGATGGAGAGGCCCAGGACAGCCCACTGTGGCCCCAGGAAACACGTAACAGAAACCTGCTGGAGGTGAGACTCGCCCACGGCCCCACACAGATCACTAACATTTTGCTGTAAGTTCAGCGTCTTCCCAAATCACATTGGGAGGAAGCTCCAATCCTTCACCAACACCCAGGGCCACGAACTCCACGTGGGCCAGCGCCCCGATTCCCCCACACGTGGTCCTGCCCCCATCTCCCGTGCCTCCTCCACCTCTGCTGATGTCCTAGTGCGTCCTTGGCCCCTGCCTGTGTGGGTGCTGCCTCCATCCTCCGGCCGCCTGGACGCCACTGCATCCCCTCCCGCCCCACCCTTCCTAGCTCACTGCAGAGACCGGGTCTGTCCCACGCCCACCACCCACGCCTTCACCAACTTCTTAAACCATTCACGACAGGACAGGCGCTTCCAGGCCAAAATGTTTGGCTGTGCCCGCTCTGCTAGAGTCCCCGGCACGGGAACCTGCATGGACCGCAGGGAGCTGGTAGAGACAGACGGGAGGGAGAGCAGGAGGCCAGGAGCGTGGCCCTCAAGGGCCACTGATGCGGAGACAGGTGAGGAGCCAGGGGCGTGCTTGGCACCTGGCTGCAGGGTGTGACAGCAGGTGGACCAGCCGAGCAAGTGTGACGTGAGTGGGTGGTGCTGAGGCGGGAAGGAATGGCGTCCAGACCTGCTCTGGAGGCAGAGCCGGCAGGGCCTCCCGAGGGTGGAGGAGGCTCGGTCATCCCAAGCTTGGCCCTCCCTCCCTCTCCCCAGGACCCTGCACCACTTCTTTATTGCGGGAGCAGGAGGCAGTGGTCGGACTTCAGTGTCAGTCCCGAGTGAGTGAGTCCAGGCTCTGGGCTCCCTGGGCCCCGGCTGAACCTCCGCCTGTGTGGGCAGGGCTGGGTCACACTCAGGCCTGCTGCCCAGCTAGGGCCCAGCACAGGGAGCACTGCCCAAAGCCGCCTCACAGCACCAGCTGGTGCTCACTTCTCTGTGGCCAGGCCAAGCGCCTGGCTGGGCCTGCACCTCCCGGCGCCCAGCCACTGCGCCCAGGGAGCGGGCCTCCCACCCGCCTCTGCTAATGGCAAAGGCTCCAAGTGCTGCGTAGCCCCCGGGCCGGGGTCGGCTGGAGAGGGGAAACCACCAAGGGTGTGTACCAGGCAAAACGTTTTGTAAAAAACTGACTCTAGTCCCTAGATAAAACTCCAGGGCCACATCCATCTGCCGCCCACAGCCCTCCCACCTGGAAGGCCACGCCTGTCGCTCTCTCCCGGGGAACAGCAGGGCCCTCAGGGCCTTCCCATCAGACAACTTCTGCTCGTCCCTCAAGGGTCAGGTTCCTCCAAGAACTGACTCTCCCAGCCCCGGGCCCAGGGCAGGCTGCCCCTGGCTGCCGCTCACACTGAGTGTAAGCCCACAGATGCCATGGCGCCTGCCCACCCCTGCCTGGCTCCTGTG